AGACATTAGACATTGCGCTCATGTAGCCCCCGTCCCCCGTCCCTCCTGTCCCACTCCCGGCCACAGGCCAGTCCTGGAGCCAGCGTGGGGCTGGGGGTTCCCGGGGGTTGCAGCACCCACAGCCCGTGGGGCGGGCTGGGTGCCAGGAGCCACGGCTGGTGCCGGAGCCCCTTGCACCTGCCCGACAAGCCACGGCAGAGCCGGGCACAGCCCCTCTCAGCTGCCTTCCCCCTGTTCCTCCTCGCTCAGCCCCATCTCCAATAGCCTGGGGGGGGGTGGGGGGGTGTCACCACCAGCATCACCTGCAGCTCTTCCAGCCCAGAGGTGGCCAAGACCCCCAGAGCTCCCCAAAAGGGGCTGCGGGACCCAGACATCCCTCCCCAGGGACAAACCCACACCTCCTGCCAGCAGCTGCTGCCCCAGCGTGCTCCCGAAAGCAGAACGGGGCCTGAGAGCCGGAGGCAGGACCCCCCTGGGGTGGGGACGTCACCCCATCACCCCACTCCTCCCAGCATCCCTCGCCCGGCCCTGGCACAGGAATACAATGACCATCCTTCATTATACCAGTTATCCCGGTTATCCCCTGCCGGCACCGGGGGATGGAGAGCGGCACTGGACGGTAGTGGGATGGGGATGCTGGGGACACCCAGCCCCTCGGAGGGGATTTTGCCAGTGGCTATGGACAGGACAAGGGCTCAGGTGTGGTTTCCAGCCCCCGTGGGTCCCAGCTGTGGGGCAGCAGTGCCCGGCGTCCCACCGGCGTCCCCGCGCGTCTCTATCCCGTGCACACAAGCCCCGGCGCGCAGCCCTCCCAGCGCGGCACACGTTTCCTGCCCCGTTGCAACACGCCGCTTCCAGCCGCTTGCGTCACGCTGCTGCCAGCACAAAGAGCGGGGGCAGCTGCCCGCCCACGGCCCGGCCTGGCATCCACCATGTCTTTGTCCCCTCCCCAGCTCTTGGCTAACCCGGCACGCGGCAGCCGGAGCCGAGGAGTGACGCTGGGCAGCCACGGCATTGCCGCCAGCTGGGGCTCTGTCACCATTGTCGGCTCTGGAAAATAGGACAGAAAACGCTCCCAAGTGGCCTCAGGGACCTCTCTGCTCCCTGTCCGCCCCGGTCCGTGTCCCATCACCATGCCCGGGCTGGGGACGGGAAGGGGACACAAAGTCCCCCCGACTGCCCAAACCTGCCCTGGCAATTTGAAGGGGGCCGGTTGGATTTCCAGCCTGTGCAGGTAGAGGGAAGAGGGACCCGAATGAGCCCAGGGACGTCCCTGTCCCCCAGTGGGATTTCTCCCATCCAGTGTGTTAAACCCTACCAGACCGGGATGTCTGGGGTCTCTTGGCTTTTTCTGAGTGTCCCCAACCGGGGACGTTTTTTGGCCGGTGGAGAAGAGCCAAGACCAGCTTTGGTGATGCCGTGCTGGCAACGCCGCCCCTCTCCCAGGGCGCAGAGCAAAGTGGGGTCACCCTCTGGTTTGGCTGCGGAGGAAAGGGCAGAACAGCCCCCAAACCCCCTCCTCGGGGCACAGGACCCTGTCCCTGTCCCCGTCCCCGTCCCACAGGAGCATCCCGAGCAGGACCCGAGTGCAGGCGGGTGGCAGCAGGGGCCGGGCTCCCCTGGGTGCCCAAGAGATGGGCTGGGGCAGGAATTTCCCTGCACCCAAGGGTGCCCTAACTGGGATCT